AGATTATCTACTGTAAAGAATAAACTTGATGAAAATCGAACTAATTGATCTGCTAGAACATTAACAAATATTTCAACAAATCTAAATGAGGAAATGTCTTTGTTGTTTTCGTTAAAGAAATATTTCTCAATAAGATTTTGACAACGTTCCACTGGTAACGGTTTAATTGCATCATCCGTCCGGAAAAGGATTTCTTTTGTATCTATCTTATTAAGATCTAATAAATTCAAATAATTACAAGTAATCTGAATTTGACTTGTAATATCTTGAGAGGCCTTCAAACTTTTAATATCCCAAGTTAAATGTTTGGACAATAAATATCCTGTCATAGGAAGAGAATTAAGTAAATACTGTTCAGTAGTTGAAGCTATTTCAATAAATATATACGTGGGCGTTTCTGAAAGAGGTAGGCAAGCTATATCCACATTAGTAGAGACTATACCCAAAGTTAATAATTCAAATAAAAACATATTGACGTCTCCGGGGTAGTTAGATGATACTATATTGATATGTAAACTTTCTGCAGTTCGGAGTTTATATTCTTTAAATTGACGTACAAGTCTGCCAAATTCCATATCATCGCTTATTAAAAAGCTACGTGGGAATCTCTTTTTATTGAAACTATCCTCTTTAATCCATTCAGTTTTGCCTTGTCCCGATAAGTCGGAAGTAACACGAATAACATTCTGACACAATTCCCTATAAATTTCCCTCATAGCTTCATTGTTTAATCCATCAGTCACGACATCTGAAGAAAATTGATCTAAAATGTGATGATGAATTCCATTTTCTCTGTAACAAATAAGCGCTAGAAGAAAATCTTTTTGATCTCGCATTGATCTAATTTGATTAACTAAATCATATTGTAATTCAAAGTCTAATAATTCTAAATTTGCAATACAAAATAAGTGATTTTCATATCCATTTTTTGATGCAAAGAAACTTCTTTTTATGAAGATAGTTAATTCCTCCATCGTAGTTGAAGTAGTACATATTAAGAGTTGCCACGGTTCTGGATAATTTCCATTATTGACATATAATGACATAATAATGTTTGGAACTCTTGTTTTGTCAACGCAAGCTGCAATAAATAATTTACCCTTTTTAACTATATCCAACGTTGCGCGTTGTCCGGTAGCTCCAACAGCTTTAAGTCCACCGCGTGATTGTTTTGGAATTTTTTTAAAAATTTTTTCTAATTCATTTCCAATCTCGCATAGAATCTTACGATAATCTTTAGATCCACGTGAAATTCCTTGGATATCTTTACGAGATGGTAATTTAGCTTTGTTGTTCACAAATCTAACCAATGTTTTACATTCTTCTTCATTTTCTTCATCTAATTTTTCTGATGTGAAATAATCATGGAATGCCAAAATATGACGAGCAGGGAAGAATGTTAAATAATAACACTGTTCTTGTGCGCGATCTATTATATTTTGCCTAGAATTGGTAGAAACGTAGTTCGTTAAAATCTTTCTTGTGAAAAATGAATGAAGGGAGTATAAATAATTACTTACCAGTTTTTGAGCTCATTCTTTAAAAATTTTAAATAATCTTTCATTCTATCTGTTCCCATTAATTCATATTCAAACTTTCTGTAATCAAAATGTCCCAATTGCATTAATACGGATACTACTTTGATTATTTCTTGCGCAATATCGACTTGGACAGTAAATTCATTCAAAATATTTTTTGAAATTTCCTCATCTTTATCGTTTACGCTTATCTTAGGTTTTGCAATTAAAAGGGCTCGTCCACGTAAATCCAAGATTTCATTCATATTATATGTCATTAACATCTCTGATTTAGAAGTTCTAGAAGTATATTTTAACAAAACTAAACACTTGTCTTCTTTTTCATCACGTCCAAAAGTATAACTCCCATTAAGTACGGCATTTTTGATTTTTTCCTTAGTTACTTCGCCACGATCTGAAATGTTCTTATATATATTTCGTAACGCCATATGACAACTGTTACATAATGCAATCTTCTCCCCTAAAGTAGGATTCTTTTTTATAATATTTGATAGTGAAGCTAAAAAACTAGCAATATCATCTCTTTTATTCTTATTCATAAATGGCAATAAAATTTGCTTGACTTGAATAAGTGATGAAACTGTATCTTCTTGAACCAATCTTTCATCTGAATGGTCATCCACACCATTTATCAAATTTTTAATATCGTGTTCGACAATTTCTTCTAAAAAACTTATAAAACCATCAGCATTTGATAGCTCTTTTATCAACTTCCAACATTCTTGATTAGCATTGGAAATATTATTATTAAGACAATTAAAAAAACTATTAACTTGGCTAAGTTTCTTAGAATTGTCTTTTAAAAATTCAAGTGATTTATTTAGCCAATCATTCTCACTACGTAGTATTTTAAAAAGGTTTACAACTTTCTCTAATTCCACAAGTCGTTTAGTCCAGAGAGAAATTTTTGAAAGATGGTCAAGGGTTTGTATTAATTTTTGATTTTTATGTTCTTTATAAACCTCCATTAAATCAAGCTCCGCATTTACATCTGTAACATTGTTCCAGAATAAAGATGCATCTGAACATTTGAGCTTTTCCCATTCTTTAAATTGTTCACAGTATGTATCATATTTTTTAAAAACTTCTGGCATTAATCTTTGCGCTATGTACTCTACTTTTGTTGCAGCAGTATCTTCCTGGACATAACGTTCAAAGATATTTCGAAAAAATCGAGATTGAATATATTTGTAGCAACGTCTTGAAATGAACAAAGTTTTTTCATGGAACGCCCAATAATCTTGCGATAACACTTCTCTCAACATCACTTTATTTGAGCTTGCCATATGTTTCTTTACGTCTTGAATGTAATCATCCACATCTGTTACTTGAGAAATTGGACAAAATTCGTTATAAAACTTGAAAAGTATATCAAGCTGAAGTTGAAAGTTGCCACAAAGTTTTCTAATTTCTTCAATTTCATCTTGAGATACAATCACATCAACTATGGCTTTCTTTTCAGAAACAGCTGCATCAAAATGTTGAAATAATCTTTCATCAGAAAAGTCTAAGAGTTGTTGTAACAATTGCATATCAATTGTCTTTTCACGTAGTAATTCACCAAGTTTATTGATTGACATTTTAACACGCTGAACAAATGGATTTGAATGAAGTTTCGTAACATTTCCAGTAGAACGTAATATAATACTCCAAAATTGACTTGCTCTTAGAATATTTAAATGATATTCCGAAGGATCAGATGCGGATGATTGGTTTTGTAACCTAGTAATGATATGATACAAAATTTCTTCGCTCACCCTGATAATTATAAATTGATAAAAAAATAAATAAATATATATTATATATAAGTAATTGTATTTAACAAAAAGATCAAATTTTTTAAAGAACTTACTTGTTTGGGACTTCCAAATTCTTTCCTTTGCAATTGCATATTGTATAAATTTTATTTATTAGTTGATCATCAATTTGTCGTACGGCCTTATTCAGCATTTCTTTTATCATATCTAAAAATAACGTTCTAATATCTTGTTCTTTTATCTGTACTATAAATTTTGTAGCGCCAAATATTTGAGATTCCGAACATACTCTAACTCTTTCGATAGCACTGGTTGTCAAGCTTTGCCAAACATTTTTTCGATGACCAAGCAAAGGGTATATGTGTTCTAAATGTAAAAATACCGAAAACACAATGTTATTTTCTTTTCTATTTTTTGTGCTCGTACCCGTGTCAAGTTTGATTAAAAGATTTTTAAACCAAGCCACACAGGTTGTCGGTATCTTGTTCTCTTTAGTGTCGGAAAAATTATTACGAAACCAATTATCTAAAATTTCAGGAAATATATTTAATAATTCCAAGGTATTTGATCGAGATGTTAAATCTAATAATCGAATAACTTCCTCTCTGCCCCAGTTTAGGTTATCCTCATGAAGAAGGTTTTTAATAGCAGTGATATTTTCCTTTGTCCAATCTCTGTTCGAAACTTCAAGTAAAAATAATGTACGAGACCGGAAAACTTCAGATACATCTTGTCGATAATCTCTTGGGAGTCTTTTAAAATGATTTTCTAAAGCAGCAGCATCATCATGAGAGCTACTTTCTCGAATTTGTTCAATAAAGTGCTTAAAAATACTTTTGTCAAGTTCGCTGCTATGTGAGAGAATATCATTCCAAAGTACAAAAAGGTGATCCATATTATGACATAATTGAATTAACCACTATAAAAGAAATATTTTTTTTTAAAAAAAAAGATTTATTGTAAGTAAAATTGACACAATAATTATATTAAAATTTACCTTCGCAATCTTAATATAGAATTCAGGTTCAGTGCCATCAATATAAGATTTGATAATTTCAATTCCTTGAATGAATTTTACTAATTTGTCATTAGAATATTTTAAAGATTTTAAATGGTCAATGAAAGAAAAATTAGGGTCAACTTCAGATGCAATTGTAAAAATAATGAGCCAATTAAATTGCATCTGAAAAGCATTATGCTGAACTAAAGTTATGATGGCACTAGACATCTGGTTTTTAGTGTTTGAAGGTAAAGTATCTTGTTTATAGCCTTCAAGTGCATCAAGCAACAAACCAGATTGAAATTTATTCTGTAATTCATAAAATGAACCTCGTCTTCTTGAAGTATTATAATGTCCTAAGAGAAAACATAAGAAAAGTCGTTTGTCTTTGTTTTTTACATCAATGCGATCGGCAATGAAATCGAGATTTGACGCACGGATTGTATAATCATTGTGAAGAATTAATAAGTGTTGGTATTCCATAACTTTAGCTTTAAGGTTGTCAGCATTTATAGAATTATAAATGTAATCCACAAAAGCAAAATCACGTATAGTATTAGGATATAAACGAGGTAATTGATTATTGTTTATGAAAATATCAAATTGATTATTTCTCTCAATATTCAACATGCGATTATCTCTATCACCATTTCCTTCAAATATAATTTCTTCTCTCCCAAATCTTCCAAGACCGTATAAAGTTTTGGCGGGTACATGAATAGCATATTTATATTGAATTTCGCCTCTTACAGAAGATGATGATATAATAACTGGACTGGATCGCCAATATGTTCGATTTTTTTGCGGACTAAGCTTTATAATAGGACTTTTCCAAGATCCTAATTCTTTTACATTGCCAAGAACTACGGGGTTTCCAACTTTATCAATACCTTCCGGAAAATGAACATGGAAAATAACTTTGATCTCATCCTCGTCTTTGCTACTACCAGGCATCAATCTATTAATAATGCCAGGCATGGTAGTCAAGTTAGGCCATATGGAACTACTATTATTTGGTTTCCGATTTTTTTCTTGACTATTGCCGCTATAATTATCTTCATTATCTCTAGTTAAATTTTGACTATTTTGGGAATCGTTAACATTGTTATCATCTAATTTCCTTCGATTATCGCCTTGAATAAATAGATTTTGATTATTTTTATTAACATGACCTGAAGGTAAAAAGTCACTATCTTTATATTCATCATTCTCATCTTTGGAGGAGTAACTCATGTTATCTAACTTCTTTTGGTTACCTCCATGCATAGACAGAGTTTGATTGTTTTTATCTTTTGGATATCTAGCAGTTTCATCTATTTGTTCTTCATAATCATCATTCTCATCCTGCGAGTCACTTATATTGATTATATTGCCTAATTTTCTTCGGTCACCTCCATGTATAGGCAAATTTTGGCTATTTTTATTATTTGGATATTCAGTAGTTTCATCCGTTTGTTCTTCATAATCACCTTCATAATCATCATTCTCATCCTGTGAGGAATCGTTCATGTTATCTAATTTCTTTCGGTTACTGTCATGCGTAGATAGATTTTGACCATTTTTATTATACGGATATTTATTAGTTTCATCCACTTGTTCTTCATAATCATCATTCTCGCCCTGGGAGGGGTCGCTCGTGTTATCTAATTTCTTTTGGATACCTCTATGCATAGACAGATTTTGATTGTTTTTATCTTTTGGATATCTAGTAGTTTCATCTATTTGTTCTTCATAATCATCATTCTCATCCTGCGAGGAGTCACTTATATTGCCTAATTTTCTTCGGTTACCTCCGTGTCTATGCATAGACAGATTTTGATTGTTTTTATCTTTTGGATATTCAGTAGTTTCATCCATTTGTTCTTCATAATCATCATTCTCATCCTGCGAGGAGTCACTTATATTGCCTAATTTTCTTCGGTTACCTCCGTGTATAGGCAAATTTTGACTATTTTTATTATTTGGATATTCAGTAGTTTCATCCATTTGTTCTTCATAATCATCATTCTCATCCTGTGATGAATCGCTTATGTTGTCTAATTTCTTTCGGTTACTGTCATGCGTAGATAGTTTTTGGCCATTTTTATTATATGGATAACTATTAGTTTCATCCGCTTGTTCTTCATAATCATCATTCTCGTCCTGGGAGTCACTCGTGTTATCTAATTTTTTTTGGTTACCGCCATGTATAGATAGACTTTGATTGTTTTTATTTTTTGGATATCGAGTAGTTTCATCTATTTGTTCTTCATAATTATCATTTTCATCTTGAGAGGAGTCACTTGTATTGTCTAATTTCTTTTGATTACCGGCATGTATAGATAAATTTTGGCCATTTTTATGTTTTGGATATCGAGTGGTTTCATCCATTTGTTCTCCATAAAACTCAGGCTCTTCATCATCATTATCGTTTTCATTTTCATCATCTGACATCTCTCGGTTTTCCACAGCGTAACGAGATTTTGAAATTTGCTTCTTAATCTTTTCATCTGTTGAATCATCACTACCGTCTTGATTTTTTTGACGGCGAGTAAATTCATCCTTTTGTTTTCTATAATTAGATTCAAATTCCTTTTTCTTATCAATACGATTATGTCCTGATGAAGATGGAATGACATCTTCATAATAATCATCGCCCTTGACCCGATTATCGCCGATATTGTCATCATAATCGTTATCGACATTGTCATTGACATCATCTGACATTTCAAATTTCTTTCTATTTTTCACAACATAACGAGGATTTGAATCATCACGACTATCTTGATAATTTGGACGACGAGTAAATTCATTCTTTTGTTCTCTATAATTAGATTCAAATTTCTTTTTCTTATCAATACGATTGTGTCCTGATGTAGATGGAATGACATCTTCACGATAATCATAATTCTTGACCTGAGAGTCGCTAATATTGTCATCATAATCGTTATCGTCATTGCCATTGGCATCATCTGACGTCTCTCGTCGATTTCTCACAGCGTAGCGAGATTTTGAAATTGGCATCTTGATCTCTTCATTTGCTGAATCATCATCACTATCTTTATTTTTTGGACGACGAGTAAATTCATCCTTTTGTTCTCTATAATTAGATTCAAATTCCTTTTCCTTATCAATACGATTGTGACCTGATGTAGATGGAATGATATCTTCATGATAATCATAATTCTTGACCTGAGAGTTGCTGGTATCATCATCTTCGGAATTAGAGGTATCATTATGTTCATCGATATCAGAATTACGTACATTATTATTATGAATTGTGTCAATCGACTCATCTACTATTTCTATTTTATCATTACCAAAGGAATATCCATTGTTCATCATATCTCTTACTTTATTTGCAAATAAATTTTTTTCTACACCGGAACGTGGAACTTGTAAAGAAGAATCTATTAATGACTCTTCTTCATCATTATTGGATACGGTATCATCCTCATTTCTTATATTTACTTCTTGTTCCATATTAAATAAATTAATTCGTTAAAAAATCGGGGATATAAAAGAAAATAAAATAAAATAAAATTTTAATTTCAGTCACAAGCAAGGAAAAAGAAAAAATTTTCAAATAATTCAAATAATTGATAATTTTTTTTTTTTTTTTTTTAAAGAAAAGAAAATGAAAAATCGACAATTGCTTTTTATTATACTGATTGAATTTTTTTAAGAAATAATGGTTATCCATTTTATGAATTTAACTGGAGTAAAAATAAGGTTTTTTTTTATTATTAATTTTTATGAAATCGAAAAAGCAAAAAAAAATAAAATAAAATAAAATAAAGTGCAAAATTGATTTACGTGCAAATTAGGATGAATCGACTAAATCGTTGAATCAACACGTTGTACATTCACATTTTTGGTTAATCGTTAAAGGCAATCAAAAACAATCTTCAAAGAAAATTTTATTTTTTTATATAATCATTAAACGTTAAAAATGATTATTTATAAAATACAGATTCTGATTATCACCATCGATATGAAATTAAACCAAATCAATGAGTTAGGAAAACTAATCTAAAACAAAAAAGGTTAATTAGAATCAGTCCAAGGTGAATTCGTTTTGATGTCAAAAGGCGAACTATAGTTTACTATAATATCGCCATTGCTAATAGATTACTAGCTATTACATAGTATATATATACAGTATATATATTGTGAACGATTATGTACTGTTAAAGAATTTATCAATAAGCATCACAACAAGTATAATGATAAGCATAAGCATGAGTGTAAACAAACCGACCCAAAAGTTGAATTAATTAGGAAGTGATGGATTATTACACATAAAAAAGTATTATTACACATAAAGTTGAGGCACTCCAAATTAAAGTACAATTTAATGTAGTTGTTATTTATCTGACCATTAGGTCAATTAATAATAATTTTATTTATAACCAAAATCAAGAGTGTATGGCGCACAGTACGGAATGTATGGTTTAATATTTAATATTAGTATGGATTATTCATTATTTCTATTTTAACAAACTTATTAATTAACTAAATTATCAATTGATATAAATACGGTAACTTTAAAATATAACAAATTCACTACGTAATCCATTCAATTAAAATCAGATCTTCCAGCGTTCATTATAGGCTCGTTATGGTTTAGTCGCTGATCAATTATGTAACTAAAATTGATCATGTGGCTTTATATTCAAGACATTCTATTATCTATCTATATAAACTAAGTAACCGTAACGTTTGTCAGCGTATGGCCTCTGAGGATCCTATATAATTCACTTATACAGTTTCCTGCTGATTGTCCATCTAAACCTTTGGTCTTTGACTGAAGAGCCCTCGTTCTCAGGCAGGGGTGGAGTTATAGCTGTTTTCGTATTATTCGGGACAAAAGTAAAATTTTGAACCCGACATCCGGTCTAGTATGTCGGATCACTCGGATGTCGGATTGTCACGTGAATCAAGATTTTACTTTGAACAACTAACCTTTCTTTGGATTTTCGTCCTTAGATATGAGTTTTGGAATAAGATTATTCATTTCTTGATCATCTAATCTACATTGATTTTATCTTCTGATATAACTATCGGACTAACCTTCGCGGTTTCAAAGATATTAAATATTTATATTTGTTTTTGTTGTTTTGATTTCATATTTGTTGATGCAGCTTTTGCATATGTTAACAAAATCTAAACTCTCAGGAACTTTAAGTATAATAGGTAATAATAGGTACATTAGCTTTAAACCATGTAAGAAAGGCATAATCTATTGCTTTCTTATATTTTATATATCCATTATTTTTGTAATTGGTTTGCGAAGAGATCCTCTTGATTTTTTATAATAGTCTTGGGGTGCACAAATACAATTATTTCCACTTCTTGCACAAGCAAGTTATACAAACTAAACATATCGAGCAAATATTAGGACTATAAGTTAAAGATTTAGTCTGAGACATATATATATATATATATTTATATTTATATTTGGAAAAATAAATATAAATATGATATGAAATTATGAATCAATGAATTATATCGTTTAACTATTTTAACTATTATCGTATATTACGTGACAATCCGACATCCGACATGCCAGACCGGATGTCGGGTTCAAAATTTTACTTTGTCCCGAACAGCTGTAAGGCACGTATTTCTAATCCAATTCCGGTTAATAATCGGAAATTTTTTTTTTTTTTTCTTTCGAACCGATCTGATTTTTTTCGGTTCCCCTTTTTTTTTATTTTTTTTCTTGTTTTCATAAAATCCTGTAAATTATGTGATAATTTTATGTAGACAAGTGTCATTAAATAATATAGCTTATGTGTTGTAAATTTGCTTTTAAATAATTCGATTGGTTGTCGGAGTCATGTGTACATTTTGATAGCCAATCTGAGATTTTCATTGTTCCGTTGTTGATATTTTTAATTAACGAAAAGGTTTAATTTGTCTTATTACTTATTAGTCATCATATTTCACTTTTGGCTATTCAGAACGATGCAATTGGACGCAGCAGATTGCATCGTTAAAGCTATCCGGTTACTTTTAATATATATATCTCAATTCTTATAAACTCGGAAATTGAAAAAAATATGCTTCTTATAGACCGAACTTTTTTTTTTTAAAGTACTTTTTTTCCATTTCTTAGACTGAAATTTTTTCTGAAATTCGTAAATTAATCCTTCTGCAACGCAACAGGTTACAGCTAGTCTAAACGAAAACTTTTTATAGATGAACATTCACTTATAAATTTCTTCATAGATATTTGCTTTTATGATATTTTCATCTTTCAAATATTTAATTGAATTATCAGTTACACTTTATAAGCATATTTATAAGGATAACTCCTTAAAATTGAAATCATCATGACTTCATACCAACTAACAAACAAAAATGTAGAGATTTTTATAATTTCTTACATTATTTGATTAAGTCACGTAAATTTTGAAAAATTTTATAAAGATCATTATTTAATTTTTACATTTTTTATTTTCAGGAATAAATGAGAAGTTGTAAAGAAGAAGAGTGTCACTGAAGAAGATTGTCATTAATTTATCTATTGCGTCAAATTATTTATATGACATCAGTTAAAATTAAAGAGTAAATGCCGAATTATACTGAATTTATCGCAACCATATATGTTTGAGTTATATATACTAATTTTTAAACGCGTATCTATAAAGAATTTTGAGATAGATCCACGAAATAATATTCTGAATTTGTGTACGGAAGTAAAATGAAATGATTTATTGATTTATTCAAGCTTTCGGTTTTTTAGACAACTTTTTATCTTCAAAATTTAAATTTACAGTATTGTACTTCCTTTTTCACAAAAGTAATTCAGTTTCCATCTGATGAAACAAAAATGTACTTGCATTTATTTATAATTTATCGTGCATGAAACTATTTTCTCAATATTTACTTATAATATCAGCCAAATCTATGATAATTCAGATCTTATATTTAATAATAGAATGAAAATAATAATTAATTAATTATCTTCGCTTGCACAATAGTATATCTGATGAAAAAGAAAGAAATATCAGGTCAAAATTAGGTATAAATTAGATGGTATTCAAATATTTAATTGAAAATTAAAATACACTCCGCCAGACCGCCACCACCACAATCTAGTAAGGAATGAGTGTAAATAAGCTTAAACTGTTTTTGAAATTTTATTATAATTCTGTAGCAAAATAAATTATTTTGTGAAAAATGGGAATGGAAACATACTAGTCTAGTCCCGAAATGTATACAAAAAGATTTACTATTATCTATACGTGCCAGAATTATGATAACTTCAGTTAGCGTTTAAGAATTGTAATAGCTTTCCGCCCCGACATTATTTAAAAATATGCATATATTTATTTTATTTTCATACTAGCAGTTGTCCCCGGGAGTAGTAGTATTACTATATAATATTAAATTTTTAGTCACAATTAGAAGCTCACTTTGATTAATAATTAGATTATGAGAGTAATAAAATATAAATTTTTAAATAAATTAATATGCAGGTAAATATTGTTATGTATCTATATAATTAATATTCTTTTGGGTTAACCAAAAACTTTGATAAATTCCGATCCAATAAAAATATAATAAAAAAAGAATAAGTAAAAATTTTGGTTAAAGTTAACCGAAGGGATAAAAAAAATTAATAAAAAAGATTAAAAGGTAGTTTCAGTTTTTACGGTAAAATCCGAAAATAAAAAAAAAATTATTATTGTCTATCTAATAGAAATGGTTAGTTGTTGTGGTAACTAAGAGAGCGCAATTAATATACTTTTTTTTGTTAGTATTAATTTATTAGAATAAAAAAAAATCCAGTTAAAATTTTAATTAACCGGAAATGTATCAGTTTAAAGATTTTCTTAATTATGATATGATAAATACGAAATAGATCGGGCGCAAGAATATCACACTTTTCAATGTTACACAATTCAAATTATTTATAAATATGACAATTTTTTTAATTAGATAGATATCAAGAATGACATTTTTGCCGGACGACCATCCGGACATTTGTCGTAATAATAAATTTTATTAATAATAACGTTAAAGATTTCTCAGGCAAATTTAAACATCTAATATATTTCTGATAATTTGATGATTTATATAAAATAACAATAAAGATACTATATATATATACTACGAATTTAAATAGTCGGATAACAAGAAAAAGAGTTTCTACATCGCATCAAATTTAAGTCGGCCATTTCTTGGTCTTCTTGACGTATTTATACTATCTGTAGGTTCCGTTTGGTTTAGGTTTGTTAGATCATTGATTCTATTTTTAGCGACATATACTTGTTTTTTCATCGTTTGCTTAAGAAATTATTAATATACAAAATTATTATTTTAATTTAAAAATAATTAAAATTTAAATATATGTTTATAAATTTTCTTACCTCAATCTTTTTCATTGTGAATGTATAAGCATTATATGTATTAGCTACCAATAAATTTTCTGGAAACAATTCATCAACAAGTTCCTCTGGAACTGTTGAAGGCCAAAAATTTAATGAACCATCTTGTAAATAAATTTTTAATGGATCCGTTTCTTTTTGATTCTCTAAAGTTAAAAATCGTAACATGAATCGTTTTAAAGCTAATGCGAATGTTTCTGCTTGTATAACTTTTTTCGTTGTAGTTTTCTGCTCAAAACCTATAGATTCCGTTATTGCAACCTCCATATCCGTTGAAAGTTTTTCCTGATATTTTTCATGAATATATTTAATTTTAACATCGGCAACTTGTTCTTCGACGAGCTCATATAAGGACACCAAATGTTTAAGTCTTAAATCAATGTCTAAAATTTTAGAGAATTCTCTATGTTCATATAATGATGATAGTTTCATCCATTGTAAAACAAATTCCTTAATGGATCTGTCGCCATTTCCAACTGCTGTACGCTTGACGAAACATAGAAGTATTTCCAATGATGACAAAATTTCTGACGAGTTACCTATAGTTGATTTTGAAGCGTATTCTAAACGGGAATTTTTAGAAAAGCCTAATGAATTCATTTTTTCGATTGGGATAGGCTCTTGGGTTATTAAGTTCTTAATATCACTAAGAATTCTCATACATCCTTGAAATAGCTCCATGTGATACGGGAAAGTTTCAAGATATAATTGTGAATCTGGTAGAGTTTCTATATAAACTTTCTCGAAAACTAGAATATTTGCCAATTCCGTTTCAATCTTTGTCAGATCATATATAATATCTTCTCCTCTTGCAATTGCTAAATTTCTTTGACTATATGCAAGAATCTCATCATTCCAAGCAAAATTTATAATATTTCCAGAACGAACATGATCAAGGCGTAGAGATTGAAGGCAATATCCATTGGGTATAACTGGTTCTGTTTTCAAAATTGCTAGTTCGATATCAAATGTAATTTCATCTAAAAACTTGAGAGATTTACAAGTTCCAGGTGGAATTAATATAACTTCTTGTAGGAACTGGTTTTGCAAGTCAACCAAATAATCTAAAATAGCGCATAAGAAAATTCCTGCATCTCTCGGTTCCACTAAACCAAAAATAACTGGAAGATTATAACCCATGACTGGTTTTTCATTGGGAAGTTCATGACATTGATATCGATTTACAAAAGGTATTACTGTATTCCAACCAAGTTTAAAATCATTAAAAGCGGTATTCAAATTATTGAAAATTTCTTCATTTCTACCATCATTGGATTCCTTTTCTATAAATTGTCTAAAATTCATATTTTTTGCCGTTTGTCTTAATAATTGATATCCAAGTTTGGCATTCAAAATTTGAACAAATTTTATGATAGGTAAAAGATATTTGAGTAATTCTATTTGTTTAGAATGTTTGAAAAATACAGAGAGAAATGGATAGTCGTTGATCCTTGTCAAATCGCTCATATAATAAGCACGAAAACTATCGAAATTAATTATTCCAATCGTTCTCCATAAATTTGGTAAATTCTCACTTCGATATTGTTTATCCATAACTAAAGTCTGATTAATTTCACATTCAATTATGTTATTTTTTTTATTTTTTGTTAGAGCTTCGTTTAACTTCATACGATAATTAGTTGCCGTCGCCGTTATATTCGTAGTTAGAGGTGTAACATATTTATCTTGAAATGATGTCTCCCAGTTTATGCGTTCAGGATATGTCGTTTGATTCGGAATGGGAGGTCTTTCCATCATTAAGGAAATTAGAGAATGGAATATTAACGCCAAATTCTGATTAAGATAATAAAATTTTGTTTTAGTTAGCTATTTTATTAAATAAGATTATAAAGAAAATAATAATAATAATAAAAAAAGATATATACATCATCTGAGCAATAAAGAAGTTTCTTCAGAATTTCCCAATCATTTCGAATATGGTTAATACAATATGTTTCAGAATCAGTAGCAGTTTGATTATTTTTTCGAAGGAAAGCAAGGGCAGTTGGAGGTTCAGATGCTCCAATAAGAGCATGAACAATTAAATGCAAAATACGATATGCTACAGGTCGTAGACTTCTGACGATAACATTCATATTTTGATTGACTAGTTCACCAATGTATCCTGCTTTATAATTTATCGCAAGAGGTTGAATTTGAGTTCTATTGTTTCCAGCTACTGGTTGATGTTTAATTCCACCGATCGTTTTTCCACAATTCGGGCAACTACCAGTAGCCGTAGGTCTGCCACATTCTCCAACGAAGTATCTGTAACCGCAAATACAGGAATAAAAACTTGAACCCTTCATGGCGTTCAACATTAAATTAAAATCCGCAGATTGCTGGTCACAAAAACATGTTAATATAAACGAGTTCTGACAATTTTGTAGATTGTGTAAATACATTGCAAGTGGAGATGAATTCGGTTCAAGCGACGCATGATAAGCGATAATATGTGCAATAACAGATTTTAAAATCAACTCGGTATTATCAATTCTTGAATTGTAAATTCGAAGTAAAGGTTGGTTATTCGACAAGATATTTGTTGCAATCCTTTTAAATGAATTCGATAAGTTCATTCCAGCAAGTTCTTTGGTTAAGAAATCAGCTGAATGCACATCTGAATGTCGCCATTCTCTTGAAGCCCTTAAAGCATGAAGACGTACAAATAAGAGTCCCATTAAAGATAATTTTGCTGTTGAGGTCATATTTTGTTTCATTTTTTGTACAAATGTTTGGAAAGGTGCTTTATTTCCTAAATTATAGAAGGTCATAAAACTGTCTTCTGCTTCATTATATTCGGGTATATTACAATATGGATTAAAAGGCAATCTATTTCCTTTGACATCCCCCCAATCGAGAGTTCTAAACCACGGCAAAATATTCTTTTGAGCCTCGCAAAATCGTCTAATATCATCAATCGAAAACCCTCTTCGACGTAAATCTCTTAAAAAGTAAATTTTAAGAGAATGAATCAAAGGATAAGATAAAGTCATAGTATTGTTAATCTGATTAATTAATTCGTTGCTATTAAAATTGTATCCTCCCGCTTTGTTATATACAATAGGACTATTTTTATTCTTCTGAAGAAAGCTATCCCAGAATCGGCGAACGAATTCTTTAAGCAACGCAATAGAAGTTATTTTTTGTAATGATGGCCTTCTTTGTTTATATAAAATTTCGAGAGCTGGTCCAAAAAAAGCTGCTAAATTTTCCAATTTCTCATTCATGAAGAAGCTTTGTTCAATGGTATCACAACATAAAGTAGCCATGTTTGTATTTAAATCTCCTAAACATTTATTAATAAGATTTAACCGAGAAGATTGTCTTACAGCTTCTTCGAAATCTGTAAGTATCGTAAAGAATATGTCCTCATTTTCTACGTCTTCTTTAATAAATATCCTTTCAATGATTGCGCCCATTAATGGAAAAGGTTCATTCGAGAATAATTTTTTATAAAAACTTAGTAGAACATCTGATTCGATAGGAATCAATGCAAGGCATCTCATGATAAATGATCTTTTTGGAATTATATTTTTTTCATTTTGTTCTAGTTTATCTAGCTTATCAAATACAGTGTTGATAAATTTCTCGGAGAGAACTTCTTGCTCGTCTAAACTTAATCCAAGTTGAACAATTTCTTTAATGCTATCTAAAGGAATGGTCTTTGCTGCAACTAGATCGTTTACAATACGTAACAACTGAAGATCTGGTAAATTCTTTGCTCTAATTATTTTATTAACGAGATATAATACTTTTGTAACATCATGCTGCCATTTATCGATCAAATGAGCATTTTCTGCGCCTTCAAAATTTCCACAAATACGCTGTAACATTAGTTTTGTCACTTCTTTAACTAGATATTTTTCTAAACTTCCTCTAATAATAGCATTTCCTTGAATTTCAATATTTTTAATTATTATGGGAGACATTTGAGCTAATTGTAATAGAGCTAAAACTTCGTTAGCATTCCTCCACCAATATGAGTGAAGGAAAATTGGTTGACGCACTTTATCGGTACCGATGAGTAATCTTAAAATTATTGTTAACATTTTTTTATTCTTTGTCTCACCATCTTTTGACACAATAACGGTTACAAAATCATTAAAATATAATTCGGAAGCCCATTCCCATTCAAGAGGTGAATTTTTTAATTGCGGAATTGACATAAAAAGCTTATTTTTGAAATCTTTTAAATGATCCTCAATCACATAATCGCAAAGTTCATTGGTTTTGGCATCAATTTTGCCATTATCCTTTTGTAATATTGTTATTTCTTCTTCATAATGTCTTTTAAAACTATCAATTTGTTTCATATAATAAAATGAAAAAGGAAATTCAAGATCGAGTAAACTTCCTGCCAGCATATTATATCCATCAGGTTTTGGATTTGGTATATCATCAATTTTGATAATTTTGTTATCCATATAAATTTGTTTCCAAAATTTAAGTAACTTTTCATAGTTCCCTTTTTTTGACTTCGTTTGATCCGAAACATAGAAAAATGTTTTTATTGCCGATAATCTTTCTAAGGCACATAAAATTTGAGTTATCGGTTTCCTAAGCAGTATTCTAACGTGAGCCTGTAGTGCTGCAGAAAATGAAGGATATGGGTACAAATCTTGTTTATTTGATGCGATTTTATATTGCCAGTTACTTGTAGATTTTTCCTCAATCCATTCAAAAGTTCTTTTTTTCAAACATTTAATAAAACTTGGATACTTTAGAATTTTTTCGTTCAATATCCTAAAAAAAGGTTATTCAAAAAATATTTAAATAACAACATAACAACATAACAACACATATATGTTAAAATATAGTATAATTACTATTTATACGTCACTTACTTTATATGATTGATTGACTTGTCGTTCGATGGATATTTCATACAAGATAAACACCATAAGAGTTCTTGTTGTAAAATTTTCTCGAATGGATAAGTAGAATTAACAATACGAGTTAAAGATCCATCTAGGAGACCTGATGTAGGAACGACACTTCCTGATAATGTTTCAATAGTCATTTGTTTCCAACCGCACATGAAATTAAAAGATGTAAAAGTGGATTCCTGATCTCGATGAATATGAAGAATGATACATGCATGCTTCGTAGGCATTTCCCGCTCCATTTGATCTCTCTTTGATATATATTCATTTCGAAATTGTTCAATAATGAATTTGGCTAGTTTAATACATCCAGTATTAACGGTAGTTAAATCACATTGAAGAATTAACATTTGATCGGTTGATTCTGACCAGAAGTGTTTTACCTATAAGTATGGAGTTGTAATAAGTTACCTAAGAAAGCATGTATTAACTTATTAAATTATTGCTTTGACTAACCCGATTTGAAAGCTGAGCTTCAGTTTTGAAAATCGACAATTTATCTACTTGACAACTTGCAAGTTCTTGTAAACAAGATTTAACATCCGTATTGATATTAGAAAATGTATTTATAATCACTAAATGTCCATTAGGATCTGATAACGCATCTTTTTGATTAGCAAAATAATCATAAAGACTATTGTGATGCTGTTTTCGGAAATAAACCTGCTTCCATCGATCAACTTCGTCTCTTTCTAAAGCTGATTGTTCGGCTCTTACAACTCCGTCAAAGGATGCTGTTGCAATTAAACATTCCTTGCATTTTTCTAAAATTTCATCATTATCTGCTTCTGGATTATTCTTTGTGATGTCAATAATTAAACTTTGTAAGGTTTCATCATCAAATCCAATGAATAGATTCTTCTGGGTGAATTTATTACGTAATTGAGTTATTGGATTAACTCCAATCAAAGTTGACATTTTTCTTGCCCAATCACCTAAATTTTCAACAAGTAATTTTTGTTTATCATTAAGAGTGTCATTTATTGACAGTTTTTGCTTTTCAAACCTATTAAGAAGTGAAGGATCAGCTGAAGCCATATTCTTCTCATCCATGGCAAGAATACATTTAAAATTCGGAGAAACGTAACTAAAATTCATTATTATTTAAAATACTTAAAATAAAATAATAAATATATACGATATATTTAATAAATTTACTTACAGCATAGGATTAGCATATGCTCCAAGTGCAACTCTTGTAAAGTATTTGACATTATCTTCACTTCCCACAGCGATATAATTTTGATTCCATAAATTATAAAGACTCCCTATTGAAATATAAAAAATCATTTAATATAAATAAGTATTACACTTAAGTTGACAGATAAAAAAAGAATTACCATAAATTATTTCCAAGTCTGTTAGAATCAATGGTCTACCAGTTTCAACGCACATCTAAAATCATAAAATTATGTTTATACATAATATGGATAAAGAAAGAATATTTCTTATAAATTATTACCATGATTCTCCTCAAAACATTATAATAATAATCATCACGATCATCGGGAAATTGAGATCCTAAAATAACAACAGGATCCAAGTCTCTCATTCTTAACTGATAAGTCAATAAATTTACAATTGAATCACTTTTACCGATAACCATTAAATGACGTGCATCAGAATCATCTAAATTTGAGGCGATTAATTGTTCAATTGGAATTTGTTTATATAACCATGGCCTATAATTATTAAATATCTTTAGAACATATCCAAAATACTTTTCACATAATTTGACATGATTCTCTGTTCCTCCAAAATTATGAGCTAATGCTATTTGAATATTCTCTGGAGTCATTTCACATAATGAAAGTCGCTTAATCAACGCATAATAATCACGAAGACCGTGGAAATTAGGCAAAGATTGTCCATGTTTTTCATAATTCAAATATGCTTTAGCAAAAGGTCTTAAAGCCACCCTTTGAGATCTCATAACTCTTTTTTTTAATAAATGTTCAGCTGTATCAACTAAATCATCCAAATCAAATTGTGGTCTGCAAAAAAACGTAAGAAAAATTATAAGTGTATATAATAAAATTGTAAATAATACAACGATTGTTATTTAAAATGTACCTCTGAACAAGCAGTGCACGACTACTTTTACTGTTATCTAAGCGCCAATTAGATATTCCTATCACTGAAACAGTTGGCCCTGTGGCTGGATAACTTGGTTCAAGCAAAGAGTGAAGCACATTTAATGGATTGTAAGGACTTGTTTCAGCCAAACCAACTATAGAATGACACATGAAAAAAGAAAATTATGACAAACAGAAAATATTATAAATAATAAATAATGCGAAAAACTTAGTAATATATTAAATATAAACGAAACTACCTTCATCAAGTAAAACAACACTAATAACAGGAAATTGAGTGGAAGTTGTTTCCTGAAACCTATTCGCTTTATCAAAAACTTTGATAATACCATCAGAAGTTGAAGATGAAGAACCTTGATGTGGAATTAAATTAATCTGTGGTAATTCCCTAAAATATTTATCATATGAATCGGTTCCACGTAAATTTGAGCTTATAAGACGAATTGATAAAGATTTTGAAGAGCCTGGTGCTCCTATAAGGAACAGAGGGATTCTTGTCAAGATGCATACGATCATAACTAAAACATTTTCTAATAAAGCTTCGTTATATGCTGTATTAGGTGGACATCGCATCCTCTTAATATAATCCTCCTGTTCTTCACGAATAATTTTAGCAATCATATTTTCTCCTACAAATGCTTTGTGATTGTGTAATATTTGTCCCATTTCATAACGATATTGTCTACGTAAATCTTGTTCATATAATCGAGAATGATAACAAATACTAAGTGCTAGAACATAAGATCTAGTCAATATGGTTGGATTTCCAGGTGGTGGATATACATGTCCATTTCTGTAAGCAGGACGATTTTGAAGAGATTTATAAAAGAATACCACCAATCTTATAGCTCGCTTGACATCACGTAGACTCACATTATATGGTTCTTCAACTTTTCGAATAAAATTTTGAGAAGCAAATAAAAGTTCCGCAAATACGGGATGTGCTAAATTTTTCAGTTCTTTTTCTACCATAATTTGAATATATCTACGTTCATCTTTTGATTTTAAAATACCATAGTCCCAAACATAATCTAAAATTTGATCAGGAAGTGGTTTGACTTGATAAACAAGGTTGCTTCGTTCTTCAAATTTTTTAACCCTATTTGTTAAACCAGCCTCACTTTGGGATTTTATACGAAGGCGGTATGGATTACAGGCGGAGAACAAACGAATATTTGGGTGTATTAGTTTTCCATTAAGCACTCGATGAGATATTAAATCAGCTAGTAAACCTATATAATTGCAAGTATTGATCTCATCAAAGAATAGCCAAATCTCGCCTTTTTCTGCTTTCTCTAAAGAATCGTTCATAAACATCATAATAGTTTTTTCATCAATTCCGGCATGAAGGTTAAGAGACTGGAATTGAACTTCAACCATCAAAGCCAAGTAGGCAATTAAACTTGTCTATAAGAGATATAATATTGAAGTAAAATATTTAAAAAAAAGTGATAACGAAAATAAATAACAACGAAATATAATCACCTTGCCACAGCCTGCTTCACCACAAACTATAACTGGAATATTCGCACGTGCTCTTAAAAGAATTAAGGCCATCTTTATTAGGTTATCACCAGATAAAGCGTATTCAGGAATATTTAATTTTTCCGTCGATTTTCGCGCTAAATATTCCAATTTCATAAATAGAGCATCTGTAGACATCGAATTATAATCATCTAACTCCCATTTTGTTATATCTCCAATTACTTGACTTTTTAATAAAGTCTTAACATTTTCGTGAACTTTAGTTCTGTCACGATATAAGGCAGATATTGTATCGGGAGTTTGAGAATTGAAAAATACTAAAAGATGATTTGAGTCGTCCCATTGAACAATTGTACCAAGACGAGCGTTTTCATCTTCAGCATTTGTAGATTCCAACTGTGCCTCTCTTGTTTTGATAGATCTAGTTGCAAAATCTTTTGAACCATCCATTAATGTTTTTAATATAAGTTTTCTAATATTAGTAGTTTCTTTTACCATTAATCTCAGATTATCTACTGTAAAGAATAAACTTGATGAAAATCGAACTAATTGATCTGCTAGAACATTAACAAATATTTCAACAAATCTAAATGAGGAAATATCTTTGTTGTTTTCGTTAAAAAAATATTTCTTAATAAGGTTTTGACAACGTTCCACTGGTAACGGTTCTTTAATTGCATTATCTGTCCGGAAAAGGATTTCTTTTGCATCTATCTCATCAAAATCTAATAAATTCAAATAATTACAAGTAATCTGAATTGGACTAGTAATTTCTTGAGAGATCTTCAAACTTTCAATATCCCAAGTTAAATGTTTGGACAATAAATATCCTGCCATAGGAAGAGAATTAAGTAAATATTGTTCAGTAGTTGAAGCTATTTCGATAAATATATATATAGGTGTTTCTGAAAGAGGTAGGTAAGCTATATTAACATTAGTAGAGACTATACCCAAAGTTAATAATTCAAATAAAAACATATTGACGTCTCTAGGAAAGTTAGATGATACTATATTGATATGTAAACTTTCTATTGGTTGGAGTTTACATTCTTTAAATTGACGTACAAGTCTGCCAAATTCCATATCATCGCTTATTAAAAAGCTACGTGGGAATCTCTTTTTATTGAAACTAACTTCTTTAATCCATTCAGTTTTGCCTTGTCCCGATAAGTCGGAAGAAATACATATAACATTCTTACACAATTCCTTATAAATTCCTCTCATAGATTCATTATTTAATCCGTTGGTTTCAACGACATCTGAAGAAAATTGATCCAAAATGTAATGTTGAATTCCATTTTCTCTGTAACAAATAAGCGCTAGAAGAAAATCTTTTTGATCTCGCATTGATCTAATTTGATTAACTAAATAATATTGTAGTTCAAAGTCTAATAATTCTAAATTTGCAATACAAAATAAGTGATTTTCATATCCATTGTTTGATGCAAAGAAACTTCTTTTTATGAAGATAGTCAATTCCTCCATAGTAGTTGAAGTAGTACATATTAAGAGTTGCCACGGTTCTGGATAATTCCCATTATTGACATATAATGACATAATAATGTTTGGAACTCTTGTTTTGTCAGCACAAGCAGCAATAAATAATTTACCCTTTTTAATAATATTCAGCGTTGTGCGTTGTCCGGAAACCTCAGCAGCTTTAAGTCCGCCGCGTGATTGTTTTGGAATACTTTTAAAAATTTTTTCTAATTCATTTCCAATCTCGCATAGAATCTTGCGATAATCTTTAGATCCACGTGAAATTCCTTGAATATCCTTACGAGATGGTAATTTAGCTTTGTTGTTCACAAATCTAACCAATGTTTTACATTCTTCTTCATTTTCTTTATCTGGTTTTTCCGATGTGAAATAATCATAGAATGCTAAAATATGACGAGCAGGGAAGAATGTTAAATAATAACACTGTTCTTGTGCGTGATCAACTATTGTTTGCCTGCAATTGGTAAGAAATGAAGTTTGTTATAATCTTTCATTTATATATTATGCTCTGAAGGAAGGGAAAATAATATATTTACCAGTTTTTGAGCTCATTCTTTAAGAATTTTAAATAATCTTTCATTTTATCTGTTCCCATTAATTCATATTCGAACATTTTGTAATCAAAATGTCCCAATTGCATTAACACGGATACTACTTTGATAATTTCTTGCGCAATATCGACTTGGACAGTAAATTCATCCAAAATATTTTTTTTAGAAATTTCCTCATCTTTATTGTTGACGCTTATCTTAGGTTTTGGCCGTTTTGCAATTAAAAGGCTGGCTCGTTCACGTAAATCCAAAATTTCATTCATATTATATGTCATCAACACCTTTGATTTAGAAGTTCTAGAGGTATAATTTAATAAAACAAAACACTTGTCATCTTTTTCATCACTTCCAAAAGTATAACTCCCATTAAGTACGGCATTTTTGATTTTTTCCTTAGTTACTTCGCCACGATCTGGAATGTTCTTATATATATTTCGTAACGCTATATGACAACCGTTACATAATGCAATCTTCTCCTCTAAAGTAGGATTCTTTTTTATAATATTTGATAGTGAAGCTAAAAAACTAGCGATATCATCTTTTTTATTCTTATTCATAAATGGCAATAAAATTTGCTTGACTTGAATAAGTGATGAAACTGTATCCTCTTGAACCAATCTTTCATCCGAATGGTCATCCTCATCATTTATCAAATCTTTAATATCGTGTTCGGCAATTTCTTCTAAAAAACTTATAAAACCATCAGCATTTGATAGCTCTTTTATCAACTTCCAACATTCTTGATCAACATTGGAAATATTTTCATTAAGATAATTGAAAAACCCATTTATTTGATTGAGTTTCAAATGTCCGTCACTTAAAAATTTAAGTGATTTAATTAACCAATCATCTTGTGCTATTTTAAAAAGCTTTACAACTGTGTCTAACTCCTCAAGTCGGTTAATCCAATGAGGAATTTTTGAAAGATGGTTAATGGTTTGTAGAAACTCTTGGTTCTTATAGCCTTTATAACCCATTAAATCAAGTTCCATATTAATATCTGTAACATTATGCCAGAACAAAGATGCATATGAAACTTCGAGTTTTTCCCATTTCTTAAATTGTTCACAGTAAGTATCGTATTCTTTAAAAACAGCTGGTATTAATTTTTGCGCTATGTAGTCTACATTTGTTGCGGCAGTGTCTTTCTTGATACAATCTTCAAAAATATTTCGAAAAGATCGAGATTGAATATATTTGTAGCAACGTCTTGAAATGATCAAAGTTTTTTCATGGAACGCCCAATAATCTGGTGATAACACTTCTCTCAACGTCACTTTATTTGAACTGGCCATATGTTTCTTTACGTCTTGAATGTAATCATCCACATCTGTTACTTGAGAAATTGGACAAAATTCGTTATAAAACTTGAAAAGTATATCAAGTTGAAGTTGAAAGTTGCCACAAAGCTTTCTAAGTTCTGCAATTTCATCTCGAGATACAATCACATCAACTATGGCTTTCTTTTTAGAAACAGCTGCATCGAAGTGTCGAAATAATATTTCATCAGAAAACTCTAAGAGTTGTTGTAACAATTGTATATCAATCTTCTTTTCACGGAGTAATCCGCCAAGGTCATTGATAGACTTTTTAACACGTTGAACAAATGGATTTGAATGAAGTTTTGTAACATTTCCAGTAGAACGTAATATAATGCTCCAAAATTGACTTGCTCTTAGAATATTTAAATGATGTTCCGAAGGATCAGATGCGGATGATTGGTTTTGTAATCTAGTAATGATATGATACAAAATTTCTTCGCTCACTCTAATAATTATAAATTAATAAATAAATAAATATATATTTATATATAAGTAAATTGTATTTAACAAAAAGATCAAATTTTTTAAAGAACTTACGTGTTTGGGACTTCCAAAGTCTTTCCTTTGCAATTGCATATTGTATAAATTTTATTTATTAGTTGATCATCAATTTGTTGTACGGCCTTATTCAGCATTTCGTTTATCAAATCTAAAAATAACGTTCTAATATCTTGTTCTTTTATCTGTACTATAAACTTTGTCGCGCCAAATATTTGAGATTCCGAGCATACTCTAACTCTATCAATAGCAGTAGTTGTTAAACTTTGCCAAACATTTTTTCGATTACCAAGCAATGGGTATAAGCGTTCTAAATGTAAAAATACTGAAAACACAATGTTGTTTTCTTTTCTATTTCTTGTGCTTGTACCCGTGTCAAGTTTGTTTAAAAGATTTTTAAACCAAGTCATGCATATTTTTGGTATCTTTTTTTCTTTAGTGTCGGAAAAATTATTACGAAACCAATTATCTAAAATTACAGGAAATATATTTAATAATTCCAAGGTATTTGACTGAGATGTTAAATCTAATGATCGAATAACTTCCTCTCTGCCCCAGTTTAGGTTATCCTCATGAAGAAGGTTGTTAATAGCAGTGATATTTTCATTTGTCCAATCTCTGTTTGAACCTTCAAGTAAAAATAATGTACGAGACCGGAAAACTTCAGATACATCTTGACGATAATCTCTTTTGAGTCTTTTAAAATTATTTTCTAAAGCAACAGCATCATCACAAGAGATACTTTCTCGAATTTGTTCAATAAAGTACTTAAAAATACTTTTGTCAAGTTCGCTGCTATGTAAGAGAATATCATTCCAAAGTACAAAAAGATGATCCAAATTGTGACACAATTGAATTAACCACTGTAAAGAAATAATTTTTTTTTAAAAAAGATATATTGTAAGTAAAATTGACACAATAATTATATTAAAATTTACCTTCGCAACCTTAATATAGAATTCAGGTTCAATGCCATCAATATAAGATTTGATAATTTCAATTCCTTGAATAAATTTTACTAATTTGTCATTAGAATATTTTAAAGATTTTAAATGGTCAATGAAAGAAAAATTAGGGTCAACTTCAGATGCAATTGTAAAAATAATGAGCCAATCAAATTGCATCTGAAAAGCATTATGCTGAATTAAAATTATAATGGCACTAGACATCTGATTTTTGATGTTTGAAGGTAAAGTATCTTGTTTATAGTCTTCAAGTGCATCAAGCAACAAACCAGATTGAAATTTATTCTGTAATTCATAAAGTGAACCTCGTCTTCTTGAAGTATAATGTCCTAAGAGAAAACATAAGAAAAGTCGTTTATCTTTGTTTTCTACATCAATGCGATCGGCAATGAAATCGAGATTTGACGCACGGTTTGTATAATCATTGTGAAGAGTTAATAAGTGTTGGTATTCCATAACTTTAGCTTTAAGGTTGTCAGCATTTATAGAATTATAAATGTAATCCACAAATGCAAAGTCGTGTATATAAGATAAACGAGGTAATTGATGATTGCTTTTGAAAATATCAAATTGGTCATTTCTCTTAATATTTAATATGCGATTGTCTCCGTAATTAACCCCTTCAAATTCAATTTTTTCTTTTCCGCGAAAAACAGGTTTTGGTGTGTGAATAGCATATTTATATTGAATTTCGCCTCTTACAGAAGATAATGATATAATAACTGGACTGGATCGCCAATATGTTCGATTTTGTGGACTAAGTTTTACAATAGGACTTTTCCAAGATCCTAATTCTTTTACATTACCAAGAACTACAGGGTTTCCAACTTTATCAATACCTTCCGGAAAATGAACATGGAAAATAACTTTGATCTCATCTTCGTCTTTGCTACTACCAGGCATCCATCTATTAATCATGCCAGGCATGGTAGTCAAGTTAGGCCATATGGAACTACTATTATTTGGTTTCCGATTTTTTCCTTGACTATTACCGCTATAATTATCTCTATTATCTCTAGTTAAATTTTGACTATTTTGGGAATCGCAAACATTGTTATCATCTAATTTCCTTCGATTATCGCTTTGTATAAATAGATTTTGATTATTTTTATTTTTTGAATATCTAGTGGTCTCATCTATTTGTTCTTCATAATAAAGCTCCCGTTCTTTTTTCTTATTAGCATGACCTGAAGATAAAAAGTCACTCTCTTTATATTCATCATTCTCATCTTGGGAGGAGTCACTATTGTTATCTAACTTCTTTTGGTTACCTCCATGCATAGACAGATTTTGATTGTTTTTATCTTTTGGATATCTAGTAGTTTCATCAATTTGTTCTTCATAATCATCATTCTCATCCTGGGAGGAGTCGTTCATATTGTCTAATTTCCTTTGGTTACCTGCGTACATAGGTAGATTTTGACTATTTTTATTTTTCAGATATCGAGTGATTTCATCTATTTGTACTTCATAATCATCATTCTCATCCTGGGAAGAACCACCCATATTGTCTAATTTCCTGCGGTAATCTCTATGCTTAGACTGATTTTGGTTATTTTTATTTTTTGGATATCTAGCTGTTTCATCTATTTGTTCTTCATAATCATCATTCCCATCCTGGGAGGAGTCGTTCATATTGCCTAATTTTTTTCGGTTACCTCCGTGCATAGGTAGATTTTGACTATTTCTATTTTTCGGATATCGAGTGGTTTCATCTATTTGTTCTTCATGGTCATCATTCTCATCCTGGGAGGAGTCGTTCATATTGCCTAGTTTTTTTCGGTTACCTCCATGCATAGACTTATTTTTGTTATTTTGATTAATTGGATATCTAGTAGTTTCATCTGCTTGTTCATCATAATCATCCTGGGAGGAATCACTTGTGTTATCCAAATTCTTTTTGTTACCGTTATGCATAGGTAGATTTTGACTATTATTATTTTTCTGATATCGGGAGGTTTCATCTATTTGTTCTTCATAATCATCATTCTCATCCTGGGAGGAGTCGTTCATATTGCCTAATTTCCTTCGGTTACCTACGTACATAGGTAGATTTTGACAATATTTATTTTTCAGATATCGAGTGGTTTCATCTATTTGTTCTTCATAATCATCATTCTCATCCAAGGAGGAGTCAAACATATTGTCTAATTTCTTTCGGTTGCCTTCGTACATAGGTAGATTTTGACTATTTTTATTTTTCGGATATCGAGTGATTTCGTCTATTTGTCCCCCATAAAACTTGGGCTCTTTCTTCTTATTAACACACCCAGAAGAAGAAAAGTCACTTTTTTCATAATTATCCTTTATCTGGGTGTTGCTGATATTGTCATTTTTATCATCTGTAATTTCAAATTTTCTTCGGTTTCTCACGGTATAAATAGAGTTTGAGACATTACTGACTTGATTTTTTGAATAACGAGTTATTTCATCTCTTTGTACTCTATAATATGACTTTCTCTTGTATCCTACTGAAGATGAAAAGTTATCATCTTTATGATTATCAAACTTGTCCTGGGAGTCGCTGGTGTCATCGTGTTCCATACTAAACAAATTAATTCGTTAAAAAATCGTTGATAAAGCAAATAAAATTTTAGTCTCAGTCATAAGGAAAAAAAAAAAAATTTCTAAATAATTGATAATATTTATATATATTTTTTTTTGAAATAATAAAAAAAAAATGAAAATGAAAAATCGACGATCGCTTTTTATTATACCGATTGAATGTTCTAAGAAAGAATGGTTATCCATTTTAACAATTAAACTTTTCATTCATACCAATTTTATAGAATGAAATACTTTTTGGTTCAAGAATAAAAGAAAAAAAAGGATCAATAGTTCAAAAAAAAAAAAAACTGAATTGTTGAATCACCATGTGGTACATTCACATTTTTGGTTAATCGGTTAAATCAATCTAAATATATCCATTAAAGAATTAAAGAAAATTTTAATTGTTAAAAGTTAAAAATAATTACTTATAAAAAAAATAAATAAAAAATAGATTTTGATTATCACCATCGACATTTTGATTTACCAAAATCAATGGAGTTATGAAACAGAAAAAAACTATCAAAACAATTAATTAATCTTAAAATAGATGACGTTTTCTTTAAGTTCTCCTTTGACATCGAAACGAATTTATCTTTGGATTCGACTAAAATAATCGGATTTTAATCAATCTTATTATTATACTAAATTATCGCCATTACTATAGATTAGCGACTATAGGAAATCCTTTTAGTATTTTATATTGTGAACGATTATTTATAACCAAAATCAAGAGTGTATGACACGGTTTACTATTTACAGTACGGAATGTATGATTTAATATTTAATATTAGTTGGATTATTCATTATTTCTATTTTAACAAACTTATTAATTAACTAAATTATCAATTGATAATAAATACGGTAACTTTAAAATATAACAAATTCACTACGTAATCCATTCAATAAATTTGGATTAAAATCAGATCTTCCAGCGTTCATTATAGGCTCGTTATGGTTTAGTCGCTGAACATGTAACTAAAATTGATCATGTGACTTTAAATTCAAGACTTTCTACTAGATATTACTAAATTTTCAAAATATGAATTTAAGTAGAAAAAAAAAATATCATGTCATTCCCTCTAAATATGCTTGCTACACCCATACTGATGAGAATGGAGTATCTTATCCATCTAAATGAAGAAAAAATTTATATATTTGGTTATTAGTTTTTCACAGATTATTTTATTCATTTACTTCCTTTTTTATCAAACAACGGTTTTATTCTGATATTACAAAATAAATTGCTTACTTACCGTATCACATATATTATAGGAATTCTTTTAAAAAAATATTATCGTAATTTTATTTCTACGAATCGGAGTATTATATTCAATTTTACCGTATCCTCACTTAAAAGAAAACTTGGAGTATTAATTTCCTTTCCTTTTAGAAGGTTCAAAAAAAGTAATCGCATAAACGCCCATACCAATTGAAAATGGGATAGGCGCTTTATCATCGCTATATTTATTACTGCGTATAAGCGTAACAGATGAAAAAAATAAATATAGATTGTTATCAGGGTTAAATGTAACTAATAAAAAGCAGAATATTAAATAATTTTATACAACAATGAATGTTTCATAGTAAAAAAAACTACATAGCAAAAATATTCTAAAATAATATGGTCAATTATCATGTATTTTTGGATTATTTAGGCCTATTTTCATAATATATTGATAATTTTATGTAGATACTAAGTGTCATTAAATAATAGCAAATAGATAAAAAATGCTTTTGAATAAATTGATTGGTTCATTGCGGCGGATTTATGAAATTTGGCAAAAACCCTGCTGCGCCCTCGGGAATTAAAATTGACTTATAGAAACATTAAGCTTTTTTCCTAAAAAATGTCAAATATGACGCACCTTTAACACTGGAAAAATTGGTTAGGTAACGGAAAAATTGGTTAGACGCAAGATTTGGGGTACAAAAAAATTTTTTAGGGCTCATTTTTGACTGTTCACTAATAAATTTGGGAAATTTGGTGACTAAAAGACTGTCAAATATTTATTTAATTTGACATGACGGACAAATTTAGGGTATTTCATAAATCCGCCGTGATGTATCGAAATCATGTGTACATTCTGATAGATTTTCTTTTGGCGATGCAAATGGACGCAGCAGATTGCATCGCAAAAGGTCGGACTTTTTTTACTTTTAATTATTTTTTTTTTTTAAATGTTTTTTCGGGTTTTATTTTTTTTCGATTCTTTATAAACTGGGAAATTTATTCTTATAAACCGAAATTTTTTTTTTTAAGTACCTTTTTTTCCTTTTTTATACACTAGAATTTTTTCTGAAATTTCATAAAATTAACGCAGTTAGTCTAAACTAAAAATTTTTATAGATGAAGTTATTTTCATCTTTTAAAAATTAATTGAATTATGAATTCTCAAACATATTTTTTATAATTCCATGAAATTGGAGTTATGACTTCATACCAAAGCTTGTTAACTACTAACAAACAAGAATGTAGAGATTTTTTATAAATTATTTGAAAAAATTTTATAAAGAATATCATTATTTAATTTTGTCATTCTTTTTTTTTTCAGGAATAATAGAGTGCAAAAAGGGTGAGAAGTAGTAAAGAAGAAGATTGAGTCACTGGTGCGTCAAATTATTTATTTATATATGACATCAGTTTACAAAAAAACTAGATTAATTCTCCAAGATTTATAATAATTAAAGAGTAAATAGCAAACATGTTTGAGTTATATATTAATTTTTTAAACGCGTATCATAAATGTATTATTATATTACTCCAAGATAGTAGATCCCACGAAATAATAATTCTGAATTTGTGTATACAAGTAAAATGAAATGATTTATTAATTTTATTAATTTATTCAAGTCTTCAAGTAATCATTTAGAGAACTTTAAAATTTTTAAATTTAAATCGAATACAGTATTGTACTTCCTTTTCACAAAAGTAACTCAGTTTCCATCTGTTGAATTATAATTTATCGTGCATGAAACTATTTCTCCAATATTTACTTTAATAATTAATAATGAATTATCTCCGCTTTCACAATGGTATATTTGATGAAGAAGAAAGAAATATCAGGACATAAATCAGGTGAATATTAATGGTATTCGAATATTTAATCTAAAACTACACCCCACACCACAATATAGTAAGGGATGAGTGTAAATAAGCTGGTTTTGAAATTTTATTATATTTGTAGCAAAAATAAATTTCTTTGTCGACTTCCTTTCTTTAAATAATCATGGTAAGTTAAGTCTAACCTTACATGTGCGTAAGAAGTTTATACATACAACAGCCAAAAAATCATATAAAATTCTCTTTTTTTAGATAATGCCGCTATTACCTTTCTTAAACGCTAACTGAAATTATCATAATTCCGACACATATAGATAATGTAAGATTTTTTCTGATCTTTTTGTATCGGTATACATTTCGAGGCTCTGTCTTAATATCAAAATATTTTAGAATATAATCATATAAACTAGTTTGTTCGATATTTCAATCAAAAGAATTACTAATTAATTATTCAAGTATGAGTCTGGTAATAGAATAATAGAATCCATTCATGATTTAAAAATATATTTTTTCACTCAGAGTTCGATGTTTCTTCTTTTATACTGTAGAAGCGTTGCAAGATGCAAGCGTATTTCGACGTAGTGAAAGTGAATTTGGGATTTCATATATGAGATTGGATATATTGATTTTTGTTTTGTAATACGTTAGGATGGATACTATTAATAGTTGAGATTCTGAAAGTGACGTGAATTGATTGGTAGAATTACATTACAACGAAACGATTCATAAACTGAGGATCATAAATAGCTTAGACATAGTTTAGAACAAAATTTTTATATATGTTTGGATAGATATAAATCTTGTTCCGTCTAATTTATAATTTTTTTATTTGCTTCTATTATTTTATATAGGATTTTATTTTATTATTTTTTCTTTGGGAGTTTAAGTAGATTTGGTGAAATAGTTAGAGCGCATTTGGACCTTAGTTGTAATATAGATTTAGTTCTTAGATAGAATGTTTAGCTAAAGGTATCTTCGGGTCCACATGGTTGAAGATCGCACCATTTTGAAAACGGCGATAATATGTAATCTATATTATTTTTTATATATTTTTTATATTAATAAAGAAATGCGTTACTAAAATAAAAAAAAAATAAATAAAAGGAAAAGAAATCAACTGGTTTATTATTATTATAAATTATTTTTATTTTTGAAAAAAAGGTATCTTTGTATAACATCTACAACGGTCCTAAATAATTAATAATTATACAGTCAACTCTCTAAGTGCACCCTCCTTAGGACCATGATGAAAATTTGAAAAATGCGCATTTAATGTGCACTTAGAGAGAATTAACTGTATTAAAGTGTTTTACTATACATACATCACATGTAAATGATAAATAGGAATAAACAAAATTTACTTTACACTTTTATTACATAAATAGAAAAAGAATTTTAACAGAATGTATAGAATTACAATCATCGACGCGACAAAAGCTTCAACCAAAAGCTTTTTTTTTTGCGCGAACTTTACTTCAAACCCATCACATTTTTATTTTGATTTGATTACACCAACCTGAGATCTGTAAAAATGTCCAATAGAGAAAATGAAAGTCGGATGAAATTCAGATATCCACCGGCAAATGTAAGTAAGCTGAAAAGTTTGACTATATTAATAATAACGTTAAAGATTTCTCAGGCAAATTTAAACATTAGGATATACTGTAAATATATTTTTAATAATAACTATTATCCTATAAATAGATAATTCAAATTTTCATTTATGCAATATTATTATTATTATATGAAAAGAAAAAAATAATATAGAAACAATCACTGAATTTCTTGAGCTACTTGGTCTTTCCGTGTAATTGCCATATTGATTATTACAAACATAAAAGATCATCTTTTAGGCGTTTTTGAGCAGAAAATAGTCAAAATACACACACAAAAGAATTTTTTTTTTTTTGTCCAGAAAGCGCCCAGGAAAATGTACCTTTATTTTTTTAGAGAGCGTTCTGAATACGGAAATATTTTCTAATTTAATTCTTCGATCGGGATTGAAATGTAGGTACATTTTACTCTTGTTTTAAATTTTAATTTTGAAAAGTTCATGTGGACTCTGATGAAAAGATTTCTATTGTTTGTAAGAACAATTTCAATTTTCATGTAAACGTGAAAAAAAGGGCTCCTGGTTGTTGTTATTTAGTGCGCTCATCACAAGTTTACTCGGGTTTTTTTTTATGGTGGTTAATAATATTGGCATAACGTCAATTTTGTTACCTTTTTTATACTATTTCTTTCGGCAATTTTACCTTAATCCCTACCGAGCTACAATTTATGGTTTAATTATAATTTTATTGATTTTTATTTACTTGGGTTTATTTTATCTTATTTACCGGGTGTTTGGTACAAGATTAATATCGTTACTCGTATTTCTTATACTAGTAGATGTTGTACAAAATGTTTTGGAAGACATGACCAAATTGATTTTTAAATAGCTTAAATTGAATTTTACTCTAAATTCTCTAAACTTTAGTTGTTTGTTTAATACATAAAATCAAGGATATTTTAAAAATAGCAGTTATCAACAAGCATCCGTCCTTGCATATAATAATGTAACATACATCATCATCTAAAACCTCATATTGTCAAAATTAGCGAAATATTATAAATTTTATTGCAAATTTTGCAAATTTAAAATTTTGAACAATATATCTAAAATTAAATGAGTCTCTTTTAACAAGGTTAAAGATTGAATAAAGTATTATAACCCAAGTAATCTATTTACATAATTACAATCGAGAACTATATTTATTACCTTGAAACATTTTTAAAATGTTTGGAGAAATTGAAATATCGCAATAATTCTTGAAAGTTCAAGTATTCAGAAATATTATAATTGAAAACATCATTGTATAAAGCTGGGATCTTTGAACTAAGTTCAATCTCAAACCTAGTCGCTAAAATAATTTTATGATCATTTAATTATTAAATATTCAGTATATTTAGTAGTAAATATAGGTTTAGAATATCAAAATGTAATTACAGTATAATAAGTGAACAACAAATTTATTTATAAGTGAGTAATATTATTTTCATGTGGCTTACCCACGGCAATTTAATCTAAAAAATACATATTTTTATTTAGAAAAATGGTTTCTTAGAATATTAATTTACAACACGTAAATTTATAATTGTTTTTTAATTCTTTTAACAACTTGAAATACTTTATAATCTTCAGTCTCATAATTTATTGGGATATCAATATCAGGATAACAATTTGGATATGAACTCCATTTGCTACCATTTGAACGCAGCTCTATATCGCAACAACTGGCTATTATATGACTTGAACCAAAAATTGGACCATAAGAACTAGATATAGCATATTCCTTTTTAATCACTCTTCCAATCTTCCCTGTATCAGTATTTTTGTAATCTTTAAATGAAAATATAAAACTATCAGCTGTAATTCTAAAACTCATACGATTATTAAACATACTCCAATCCAATGGATTATATCCTCCAATTATTTGATTTGTATTTTTAATTTTTGCAACGACGATATTAGCTCCTTTATTATCAGTTTTTTCATGAAATTTTGCAATAGTATTACCATCGCTACTAGAACGATAGAAATTATAGTGAGTATTTCTTAAATAATTGCCATTTTTCTTATCAATCCAACTGGCAAATAATGCAAAATGTTGAAAATCAACAATAACTGAATCATTTTAATATTTGTTTTTCTATTTGGTACTAAATAAATTGTAAAAAGGTTATTAATTAAATCTTTTGGCAATATTTCTTTATAAGGAAATACTTTATCATGAAAATCTTCTGATCTATGAAGAGTTCTTTCCATAATTGTAACTTCCTCTTTGTTCCATTTAGTGACATCTTTTGAAATATTAGGAGTTTGTGCAAAAGTCCATTTCAATAAGTTATCCCATATTTCAATTTCTTTTAACCATAAATCATCCTGTTTTATAAGCAATTCAATTATAGGTGTTTTTAAGTTGATAAACTTGTCAGTATTAAATAATATTTCAGGTTCTTCACAAATTTTATTAAGACAATAATCCAATAAACTTGTAAAAGTTTCATATTGATAAATTGTTTCAAGGATTCCTATAGGATTTTGTTGTAAAAACTCGTATTGATGTTTAATTAAATATTCCTCGATATGAGGATTAGAGATTGAATACTAAGTTCATCAACTGCTATTAACAACTTCAATAATTCGGGTACCTCTAATTTTTGTGAAATCAATTTTTCCACAATAAATAAAATCTTAAGAATTTTTTGAAAGATATTAATTAAGTGTTTAACAGTATATAGGCAGTAGTATATACAGCACATTTATAGATACGATATATTTATTACCTTAAAATAATTTTAAAAATAATTGGAGAAATGTTTGGTTTTTCTAAAATAAAATTTCCATCCTTTTTCTTTGCACATTTATCAGAAAGTGCTGTATGAAAATATTGAGACCTGATACGTAAAATATTTGAATACGCATGTAGTTCTTTAACATTTTCATTTTCACCGGCATAAATAATAACGTCATATCCTTCGTCAGCTTCAAATAATTTTTCATAATCATCATTAACATTTTCTTGCCAAGACATTGTTAAGTGGGAAGGGATTGTTTTAATGATCTGCAACAAGGAATTGATCATTTATTTTAGAGTAAATTTTTTAAAATAATTTGAGATCCAAGGCAATATGGATTAAGGATGCCAAAAGTTTGGTTATAACCGATCATAACCAGTTTTTACCAGTTCGGTTATCAGTTCGGTTTCAGTCCAAGACCGACCGGTTAACCGTTGGTTTTATATATAAAAAACCGATCAAAAAACCGATAGGTTAATTGTAAATTTTTAATATATTCCGAAAAAAAAAATGATTTCATTGTTTATTGAGAATATCATTAAAAACTATGATTTTAGTGTTTTTGTGTATAGTATTCTCATTTTTGAAATTATCCAAATTTACTCGTTGATTGCGTGATTTTTCGTTTCTCTGAAAAATCACAACATCGGCGTTATTGTTGTAAAAAAATTGCGAATATTATTACAAAAAATTATAGTTAATACTTTATGTCATTATTTTATTCGGTTTTACAGTCGTTTTGCAATCGGTTTTGTAGTTCAGTTTTATCGGTCGGTTTTGTGGTCGGTTTGGTTTTGGTTGAAAACTGCAGTTTTACAGCTGTTTTCATAAGACCTGGGACAAAATAAATTTTTGAACCCGACCGCTGACCCACCGATCCGGTTCAGTTATTTATTTTACAAATCAAACTATCTAGGGGTTAGATAAATAAACGGGGGGGCCAACTCATAGGTTACACAGACTGATCAATAATAACCAGAACTGTCGCCACCATAAATTGGTTACACAATCGAAATCTACTATAAAATTGCGCAAATTTTTACTTTTTTTTAATTTTTTTCAACGCGCATTCATAGAAAAGCAGCCGATCTTAAAAACTAAGATTACTCAAGTTAGGTCTATATAGGAAAAGTGGTTTTATTTCAATTGAGTCACTATAGCTTTTGTAAATTGTTATTTTTTTCCTTGGAATAAGCTAATTTACTGTAGCAATTTACTTTAAGCACCGTTTTAATGTTATTTTTTATTTATATACCAAATATTTGGATAATAGACTTCATTAACAACTATTCTATAATTAAAACTGTAAATATTTGACCCTTTGATATAGCTTCTTTGGAAAAAGAAGTACCCTTTTTCAGGTGTTCTAAAATTAAAGGTATTAAACTCTTTTTTCTTTTGTTATTTATATTATCTCCAAATGCCCAAAGTAACCATTGTAACTCACTCACTAGAAACAATTTTGAGAATAATCCTTCAGCACCATCCAACTGTGCCCAGATTTGAAGTTGCACCAAACCAAGCATAGGATCTTTTGGTAAGTTGGACTTTTTTATTAAAGTAGGTATGTTATTTTCAGTATCATTACGCATAGCTTTAAGATTTTCCCTAAGGCTTGAGGTTCCTTTTTCGGGGATGAGATCATTGAATTTTCGCCAGGATTTTTGTCTACTCTTCATATAAATAATAATAATTCTTTCATAAAGAAAATCTCTAGCATCATCTTTTAACTCGTATTTTGTTATATTTATAGAGTCACACGTGGAAAGCATCTGAGTAGAGATATTGATGAGTGTGTTAAAATTTTCTAACAATGGTAAGTTACATAATAAGCTATTGTGTATATATTGAAGAATATTGGGTCAAAATTCAGTATGCTTTTCAAATAATAATAACACTAATGATTCTATTTTATACATAAATTCTAAAAACTTCAGACCGGGAATCACATTAGTTGTTTGAGATCGAACATCCTGTTCATAAACAACTTGTTCTGAATTTAGAGTCATAAGGTGAGTTTTAATTGCTTCAAATTCAGGACGCGATTTTGTTATATTGTCATTCTTTGTTAACTTATAAACAATCCACCCAATGATGTAGGAAAATTTTGAAGCCTCAGATGATTCCAAGACAATAATTTTTTCTGGTTTTAAATTATTGTCTGCTGCTAAATGAGTTTGTGAGATATTTGATACTGTTTTTTCACTAAAGGTAATTTTAATAACCTCTTGTAAAAGCAAGTATGCAATGAGCCTTTTAGTTGAAGAATCATTTAAATTGGACGCAATAAGAAAATCTTGATACCAGACTCCTGAGCATTTAAAATTATTTAGAAAATTTTCAAGGTAAGAGCTCCAAGTAGCTAACCATTGAATTCCTGTTTTTTTAAGAATTGCTTTACAAGCGATATTTTTAATAATATCTTGCCACTTTTGTAGTAATTTATCAATAGAATCCTGATAAAGGATGGTTTCTATAAGTTGGTGGCGTTCACTCTGTAGGCAAAAAATTCTAATATTTTCCTGATCAACATTTTTATAGTATGGTCCTAATGGAAACTTGATTTTCCCCATAATTAAATCATCTGTAAGAAGATTTTTAAACACATTGTGAGAAAGAGATGATATTTGTGCCAAAAGAACCAAATGTTTTTGATAAATGTAATTATTTTCTTCATTATTTGTTGTTTTTTGTTTATCTTTTCGATAATCTATAATTGTAAATAAAATATTTTAATTTATAAAGATGTAATAATAATATAATTTATAACATATGCATACCTTCTTACTAAAGTAGTAATACCAGTTCCAGTACAATCTGTTTTGCCATAATTAACACTCTTTATTTCTGACGAAACTAACATTGTAATTTGATATTTGTTTAAGGCATGTCCATAAGATTTAAGTGTTTGGGTGGAAGAGTCTCCACCAAGTTCTCGGATTGTACCAAAAAGTCCCTCAAGCATATCTTGTGAAATCCTTTTTGCTTGAATCATTGCACTTGGATATTTATTTAAAATATATGTAAGCATTCCAATAAAACCATTGATAGATAAAACCAAATCAAATTGGCATTGTGATGAAATCCACTCTTTAGATTCTGTCTTTTGTTTATCACCACATATAAACCAATCACGAATTTGTTTTAAAGTATTGATACGTAGATCTTCTAAAGATTGAAAATTAATTTTACTATGCATTATTTCACGATACTTTCGTAAATATTTGATATAATCCTTAAAATAAATTATTATTATTAGTTTTTTTTAAAGAAATTAATTATTATAAATTAATAATTACTTACTCTTGTTCCTTCTGATATATTTTTAAGTTCTTTAATAGTTGCTAGTGCATCTTCAACTTCTTTTGATAATGTATGCTCAGCAAGATCAACACGCATCTTACTCCATGAAGTAAGCCATATATGTCATTTTGTAAGTTTGGTAGCTTTAGCAGTTGCATGTTTATTTGTATATTCATATACACCTTTTATATGTTTCCAACTAATTTCCTTTTTATTAAACATTATTTCTCTTGCATTTTTTTCACCTGTATGACTTTTTGATATGTTGTTTCTAAGTTTTTTAAAAACATGTGTTGGATCACTAATAAAAAACCACTCTTCTCATGTAATAGGATTGATTGTTTTATAATTTAATAAAATTTCTTGATTATTATAAACAGGTCTAAGAAACTTACTAATATGATAACTAAAAACTTTCCATCCCTTTTTTGCATATATTCCTTCTATAATTTCTACAGATAATGTTGTTTCAACTGGATCAAACTCAATAATTTTTCCTAAGTACCATTTATTATCATCTGGATTTCTAAATTCGCATATTTCATTGACATTCCATTTCAATTTTGAAGGCATTGGTAGACGAATAAAATTTCGTTCAATTTCAATATTTTTAGGATTATTACAATCAAGTTGACATACAGTAAATTTTGTTTTTTCAAAATTACTATTTATAATTTTTGCTGCATAAAAAGATGTTTTATCTTTATTAAAATTAACTTCTACAATATCACCACAAGTCCATTTTGATGCATACCAATCAAAACTTTTAATATGAATTCTATTTTCTCCTGCTCCATCACAAATTGATCCACATGTATATATACCTATACACTCTAATTTTGCTGCAAAATTAAAAAGTAATGTATTTAAACTATGTAATGATATATTATTAATACCATAATAAGATATGGGAAATGCAAAATTATGTGTTATTGAATGCCAAACAATTTGATGAACTTGGGTTGCAAGTCCAAATTTTTGTTTA